TTCTGCTGACGATCACCATATACATGTACATATAATTTCGCTTTAGCGGTTCAGTTAAATTGGGATCTCTCGTATAATGAGCTAGAATAGAATTTTTATACTTTTATGTCTGTAGAGCACTATAACGAAGATTTATTATATAACATTCATATTATTTTAGCATTCGAAGAATTACAAATTGCATCTATTTACTTACCAAAACTATTATAAAGGACTGGTTTTCATCTTAACAATCTGTTGTAACGAGAGTAAAAAGTACGGATACATGTAAAAATGCATAAAAATAAAAATTCTAACTAACTTTTTTTATTTTTAATTGAGAACGTACACTGCGCTGAATATCGAAATACTGCGCATAAAACCATTAAGGTTAGATTTGTTTTTATTTGCATAGGCTGATTTACTGATGTTATGATATGACTAAATAAATTACAAATAAGATAACAATATCACTCACGTAATAAACAGTTGGGCAGTATTATTAAATATAAATACACTTACCCCACCTTTTTCTAGAATAACAACTCAGAAAATATGTCAAAACTTGTACCGGATGTGCTCTTAGAAATTTTCCGTTATTTGATTAACAAGCGTAACAACGTCAGTAGCAACCATGGAAAAGATTTATTCCATTGTCTTCTAGTGAATCGTACGTGGTGTAATGTAGCCGTGCCTTTACTGTGGTCTGATCCGTTCACAGAAACAAGTCGATTCGTGACAAATGTTGATAATATGATATTCAGTACTTTGATTAGCTGTCTCCCAACTACAAAGATGCAGGAATTAGAAAATGATGGAATTCATATCAAAAAGATAAAATATGAATTCGCTGCATTTCAATATACTCGATTCTTACGATCGTTGAATTTCAGTAAATTACTTGGCATAACTAAAGAATGCGTCACTAAGCAGTCAAATATAATCAATAATAATATGATTATTACTATCACAATTGATAACCTGGACGTTATAACATCTATGAACAAGATCATTCGTGCGCTCTTATTTCTATTTAATGAATACTCTTTGAGTATGACATCGATTGTTTTGAAAAATAATCATAAAGCATACAGCAATTACATAGATTTGCTGTTGGAGCCAGATTTTGAATTGTTACGCGCGAGGATTAAAGAGGTTAAAGAGTTACAAGTTAGGTCTGGAAGTCTTCAATTATTATCGAACATGGGAAATGTTTGGAGAAATGTGGTAAGTTTTTATTTTTATTTTATTTAATTTTACGATTGATTCTTTTATTTGATGGATACTTATTTATATATAACGATAATTCATAGCAACATTTGAAGATTAGACTCAAACCTTTTAAGCAAAATATTTCACAATTGGCATACTCGAGAAATTTAACACAAATTGCACAATTTATATCATCTCAACGAAGTCTTTATTCCTTAAACTTTGGCACAATCGATTATAAGAGTAATTATCAACACATTATCGATTCATTATTGCCGCATCAATCAACACTCGAGTCACTCGAATTTCACGGAATAGAATTCAACAAAACGCCACCACTCAGAACGCTCGTGAATTTTCACAATCTCAAAAAACTTAACTTCTCTTATTGTTT